CACCATGGAAGTCACACAAGGACTTACATGGAGATGCATCCAAGCCTTTCCAACCATCTTCACACCCTACCAACAGAGGCTCTTGGTGGCCAGGTCTAGTGTCCTCCCTTCATCTCCACTGAGCATTTGGAATTGTCTATAGGAATATGCAGAAGAACTAGAAGCAAGGAAATGTGATGTCATGATTCTTGCTGCAGCATGCCTCAGCGTTCAGTGTTCTGGGCTAGCCTTGGAATGGAAAGAGAGTGTGCCAAAGACATTAAAGAGTTGAGACTGATGAGCTGAGATTCGGTTCAATTTCAAAAAGTGAGTTCACACTTCCTCACAGTTCTGAGACTAAGTTCAAAATGCCCTCTGTTCTTGTTACTGATGTGTTCATATTTTTTATCGCTAGGTCCATCTGGATGCCTCAGCCTAAGAATTGTTGAATATTCTACTAAGCAAAAAGATTTAAAAAAAAAAGTTCTCCTCATTCTTTCACGGCAGCCTCAACCTATGTGGGAATCATACCCAAGTGAGCAGCGTTGGTATCACTTCGATGAATTGACTGTGCAGAACATCCTCAGAACAGGCTGCAAGGGTATGGGCATGTGTGCCCATGTAGCCAGCAACACATGCTCTGTTGAACGTGTTGCTATGAGAGGGGTCCTCCCACTGAGTCAGCACAAGCTTACTGGGCAACACATTGGCATTGGCTGAGTTTCATACCACTGCTAAGCCATAATCTGCTTGGCAGGCATGAGGGATGCCACAGAATCCCAGGGTTAATTGGGAACAAGGCAATAAACACAGGTTCTCCCAAGGCATTCTTGAGGCTTAGACGCTGTCTGCGGACCAACTCTACTTCAATTTTTGAAGTACAAAACTGTCCCTTGGATTCTCAGTGGTAAAGAAAATCAATAGCAACTGTGCCAAGATTTTAAGAAAATTATACAAAATCTCTATTTCCTAAAATGTTAAAGAGAACACAAATCTAGATGACAAATCAACTATTTTTCTAATACTACCAAACAGGATGGAAACTCACTGTGGTAGAGCCACACAGGAGTTTCGGACCACCCTGAAATAGTTTTACAGCTTCAACATTTATAGGGTCTTCTTGCTCTTGAGACTCATTATGCTCTTAATATTTAAGCTCAAATGGCATTTATGGGAACAGGATTGATATCTTCAACTAAAGGAGAGACAGTTGTGAAGCCTAGGCTCCAGGAGCAAGCAATGGGGTTATTCACATAGATCTCTTCAATGTGCTTGGTGAACTATGTCAATAGTTCAGATGTCAACATGAGGAAGAGGAAACAGGGGAAGGCCAGGGAAGGAAAAATCGGCATTACCACAAGACACATTTATGTGACAAAATGAATGTGAAGGAAGATGAGAACCAAGGCACTGGAGAACCTCCCATGAAACATGGTGAAAATTAACTTAAGAGCAAGAGATGATGAACACCAAAGCTAGAACTCGGGAAATAAAAAACTACAGAGCCAAGAAGTGATATAGCGGGTAAGCACACAAAGGGAAGGAAGCAAACAACAGCAGCAAAAACGTTTTAGAGCAAAAGAAAGTGTACGGGTCTGTGTAATCAAGGGTACTACCTTTGCCCCTCGGAGCTCAAACAGAGGCAGCTGAGATGCCCGTAATTATTATTTATTCATGCCCTTTGCTTCAGGGGGTTCTCCTGGCAAAACTCCAGCAGCTTTGCCATTTTTGAGACTAGGGACTTGAGAGAGTATCTGCTCTGAGGATTTGGTCCTGTAATCTCCTTTAATGTTTCTCTGGCATCAAAAGGTCATCTCAATTCAGATGTTCATGAAATGGAAATTAGTTTGAGGTCCCTTGGAGATCTAAAGCCTGGCAGACAGGGGATGCCTGTAAGGGGGATCAGACCCTGGATGTGAGGAACCCCTTCAAGGTGCCATTTTGTCATCTCCCGAGGCTTAATAATCCCTCAGCCACATCAAGCAGGCATCCACCATCCAACTGAGTACATCTTTCAACACACCAGAATTTCCATAGTATCATAATGACTGAACTGAATAATGCATTGCTCCACCAGACATGACAATGGAGGATAGGGACTCTGGGCTAGGAGCATCACTTGAAATCTCGTAGTCATTCTACCCCATAACCTACTTCCCCGTGATAATCCATGTCCTCAGCCTCTACCAGATCATAGGTCCTTTATAAATATCATCTACAAAAGACATTCAAGGTCTCTGAGTTAGTATCAGTATTCCATCTTACACTGTAGAAAATTAAGCTGTGAGTTTGCCAGGAATGTACAAGTAGTAACTGTCAACAACGGGTTCTGCGTCTACCCTGCTTCATGGCAGAGCAGGTACCCTTTTCCCTTAACCACACTGGTCAGATCCTTATGCTAATTTCTGCTATGTTTTCTATCTTGCTTTAGACTAAATTAGAGCAAAAATCTCCAGCACTTACAGGGGCTTCATTTTTCCCACATGCTTCCTTGTGTTGTGGCTAGAAAAGCCCACAGGCAGTTTTAGTTCTTGAGACACTTACTATGGAGTGAGAAGACAGACAGAAAACAAAACCAAATAAAACAAAACAGAAAGCCACAACTTCCTAGGGCTCCAAGAAAGATATTTTCCGTTGTTCTCCTCAAGGGAGTTCATACCAGCCCACAGAAAGCCAAGGAAAACCAAATCTGTTTATTTGTGTTTTAAGTGAAAATTCTTCCTTTTGCAGGATAAAATAAGGGCAACCCATTCTACCTAGAACAAACCTTATTCTAAATTACCAAGTTAACACTATAAACTCTTTTCTTTGGTCCATGTGGATTTTTCTCTCGTAAAGAGAGGCAGGGGTTTCTGTGCAGACTGCCATAGCATTATCCAGAGTACAGATAAAGCTTGATGCCCCTCCTTCCTGTATTCTCCCTTATATCACACCTATGCTCTAGCCCTGAATAGGTAGCGATCTCTGTACTGTAGAAGAAGTACTGTCAACAAAGACTCTGATTTCAAAAAACTGCCTTTCTCAACAGCATTTCTCAATACCAAACATTCGACCACTTGAAAAAGGCAAAGGAATCTTTACATTGCATACTTACCAAAAATGGTCAAATATAGAAATCTATGAAATAAACAATGAATCTCTCCATTGATATCCTTTCACCCAAAACCAAGATATTTCTATTTCCTGAGAAAATCCTTACTAAAGAGTCACATGTATTCTCCCAAACGTTCTCTAGTCACAGTATGAGATGACCTAATTATTAAATGTACTCATTTTTCAACCAATGCAAATTTCTTTGGATCCTGACTTTTACCTAAACAGTTATAATATAAAAATATGTACCCAAGGATATCATTATGTATATATTCCATTTATCCAACCACCATGTGAAATATGGAACAATGCAAACTTTAGTTGATGCAAATGTTTTAAGTCACTAAGAGCCCCTTGAGTATAGGTTCGTAAGATATCATAGCACCAAGCATAGGAAATGAGGAGAGACGACTGAATCCCAATGCAGACCATAGGGGTTGATAACCTCAGAGGTCTGGGTACTGGCAGAAAGGAGGAGATGAGGCAAACATGGAAGAAAGCAAGACAACCACTGTACATTTGCAAACGCATCTCAGACTGACCACTTAGTCATCTTGTTCTTTATACTTCCTCATGAACAGAGACAGAGAGATGGAGAAACAAATTAGACTGGGAGCTAGGTATTGAAGTGCTACTGGCCAAGGAGGACAAAGGAAATATAACAAAATATTCTGAGGACTCATGAGAAGAATTAGGATTTCCCTATTGGTTCCTTCTTTTCCTATCCTCTAAATCTTTTGGAAGCACGACTTTTAAAAATACAAGCCACATTCTGAATTTACTGTGCTTCTGTGTCTTTCCAGCAAGTGCTGTGAGTATCTGGAGCACTTCACCTCCAGCCTACTCCATGTTTTGAGCAAAGTTCAAATTCTCTTTCAACTTCTGGACCTGTGTACTTTCTCTTCCCTCTGCCAAGAATGTTCTTCTGAGGTTCTATTGCTGCTCCTCTTCTCTAGCCCAGCTCCTGCATCTGTCAGGTCCTTCAAAACTAGTCTTCTACATAAACTCCTGCTCCATCTCCCCTCCTCCCTTCCCATCAGGTGATCCATTCTCCCATTCGATATTGTCTCAGCACTGTTCCCCACTACCTTGTTGTGATTGAAATAGTGGACTATCAGTTGCTTATTTATCTTTCTAGGTAAAAAGAAGCATGAGAGAGTAAGTATGTCGGCCCTGAGTATCAATGCATCCCCAGGTATAGCATGCTAGCGTGTAAGTGTATTGTAAATACTATAGAACAAATGACCAGACGGGTGCATGGCTATACAGACAGCTAACAAAGAGACATCAGCAGAGTTGAATAAATAGGCCAAAGGACCTGAATAATTCATAACTTGAACAATTAAGATCTCCATAATTAAGAATTAGCTAATAAACTAAAAATACTTTGATAGAAGTATATACACAAGGGCATTCAGAACTAACCAATATTATAAATGGGTCATGATTAACAAAACAATCTTGCTTATATAACCACACACATTTTTTAAAATTAAACATAATTTGCATATGTTAATTAAAATCTCTACTTTTTAATGAAAATGTTTGTTAAAATTAGGATAAAATTTTTTTAGCTTGTGAAACTGAATTCATATCTAAAACTGAAAACATTCATTTCATGACAATGGAGTATTGAAAATATTTCTACATCTTTTATAAATCGGGTTAAGAGGACTATTTAAAAGATTAAACAATTGTATACTTCTATTTATGAGAGAATTAACCTCAGTGTTCTAACACAACACAGCGTTGATTTGTTACTTATTATTCAAGGTAAGATTTATCTTCCTTTCCAACTCTTAGAGCTTATTTACCAAAAATATTTTTCTAGGTGCCAAGCATATTAATTGTAAATAAAGCATTGCCTTTCCAACAAATCTCCAATTAGTTTCTCCACCCTCATTTCACATGTATACTAGATTATTTACCTGAGAAATTGGAACTATTCCAAAGCACTCCTCAGATTGAATAATTAGGTAGTTTCTTTAAATGAGGATCATGTACCCAAACAGAAAATGTCTGTTTATCATGCCAATATATAACCAAACTGTAGACATGCCAATAAAACTCTGGCCAAAGTGCATATAAACGTCCTGAAAACACACAAGGGATGACATTTAGGCTTTGGCTAGTGGGAACTTGGTAAACATTACATCAACTAACTTTACTAACTAAAAAACTCAATACTGGATAAGTCAAATAGAGTATGTCAGTCATTAATCAAAATCAGTCTCTTCTCAAAATATCCATCAAACTAAAACCCTGGATTTGACAATAAGAGCTGACTCTAGAGTATGACCCAACATGAAAGGAGTCAGATCCATGCCTTCATCTCAAACTAGCTCCATAGAATTTGTCCCAAGCACAAAATGTGGTCTACCCATATTTTTACTTGATTTTATTGACAATTCTATACAATGATGCAATGTTTTTTGATTACTCTCCCAATCTTGCCTCTCTTATATCCCTGTCAATCCTGCCAACTTCCTTTCTAATTTTTATCAGTTTCTCTCCCAGATTCATGAGTTTTGCTTCTGTTTTATGACCCACTTAATTTCCCCAAGGCCACTGATACAGTGATTACATTGGAACTCTCTGCTGGAGCCTGATGGGGACTTGGATACAGGACTGAAGGCCGTGAGTTCTCCTCTGCATGCTCTTTGGTAGCAAGCAGTACAACCTATGGGTAGGGCCCCCTTAGTCTCTCATTCTTCCCTATTTGATTGTTAATAGGCCCATTCTTATACAGACCCAGTGTGGGCATCTAAGGTTGCTGAGTTTGTGACTGCATACAACAACTGTGTCTTGTCTTAAAGATGGTACTTCTCAGCCCTTCTCCTTAGTTTCCTTCTCCATTCTTCCTGTGGCCTCCTCAACAAAGTTTCCTGAGCCTTAGAACAAATGGTACAAATGATTTGCTTAGTGCTAAGCATTCATTGTACAGTCATAATTCGCTGAATCTCACTGAAGCAGAGAACAGCGTTTATCATAGGTATAAATGTAAATATTTAGAGAGCAGCTTGATGAAATGTCAATTTAGCTCAATGACAGTATTCAGCACCCCCCCTCCCCATACCTATTATTTTCCCCCCAAACACATCGTGGTTGTGTAAAATTTTATGGCCTCCCCAAGCAAACAATACTTTGCAGATTAAGATTTGTTTATGCTACCAAAGATGTTTCTGTCAAAACAAGTCTACTTTGTGAGTTAGAAATTGCATTAAAAAAATCGGTTGAGAGTCTTTATACTTTCTTGTAAAATCACACTAAAGCTATATTTATTTGTATGTCACTAGAAAAATGTCTAAGTCTCCCACAAGCTTTGATGGCTATTAGAGGGGCTGGTAGGATAACCCAGTAGTCAAAAGTGTCTAGTGATCAGTCTGAAGACCTGAGTCTCAGTCCAGGAAATTACACAATAGAAGAAATTGGCTCCCACAAGTTGTACTCTGACCTCTCCTTGCACATGGTGACATCGTTGCACTAACAAACATAAGTAAATAAGACTGTAAATTAAAACCGAGACTCAATCTTAAAGAGGCTGTTGCCTACATTGGACCACGGTTTGTGTGCTGTAGCTTTCCTTTGTTAAACACACTCTATGTTCTTTTCACCCTAAACTCATTTGGCTTGAGTTGTTGATCAAAGAAAGTTATGCATGAGAGCCCATTCTGTTTGGGAATGAGGGTCTGTCATGCCCTGAAACATCCTTGTGATTTATAATACATGAACTCTTGGTGAAGACGGTAAATATATTAAAGCAATTTGAAAATCAAGGGGAAACATGCTGTATATACAATTTATTGCTCATACACCATGATATTTTATTCTAATTCTATTTCAAAGTATCTTTAATATATGTTAACTGCACACAGCTGTACACATGCATATATGTCAAATATAACCATATTTGAAAACAGATTTCATGTGCTCATGTGCATTTGAAAATGAGCTTAGTGCTTCCAAGTTTTCATTGCTGCAATTAAATGAACTTAGGATTTGTTGTTGTTGTTGTTGTTGTTGTTTATTTTTAAAACTATTGCAAACAATTTGCAGTTTAGCGAGAATGTAGGCAGTATTTCTATGCAAAACTAGGAAAAACTTAAAAACCTTAGGAAGAGAGGGAGGGGTAGAGGAAAGAGAGAGAAAGAGAGAGGGAGAGAGAGAGAGAGAGAGAGAGAGAGAGAGAGAGAGAGAGAGAGAGACCTGTTTAGACAGCTTTTCAGGTTGAAAGAATGGGCCATATTGCTTCCTTGTGGAAAATAGAATAAATGCTGGAAAGTAGAAATTTGGGAGATAATTCTTTATGTTTTCCTAGGTCAGGACAGCATATTGACTTAAAGGTTATTTTCTGGAAAAAGAGTTGAAAGAGAACCCAGATGAACTCATTCTCCTAAGTAAATGTCAAATTTCATTTCTAGCCAAATACAAATGAATTATTTACGGGCAGCTTGCAATTGGGATAATCTGTTTGGCCTTCTTCTCTATTACTATGGGAAACTATATTTTTTATGCAGTAAAAATATAATTATGGATACAGATAATACATGTAGCGTTTTAGGATTTTTATATATTATTAAATTATGGATTGTTCTGAAAAGTTAAATGTTCCACATTTCTCATGAATTGATTTACATTTTTCCAAATAGGATTTGAAGTATCTATTTTAAAATGCAGTTATGCTGAAAATAAATAAATAAATAATTTGAAAAGTTGAATACAGATAGAACTAAACCAGAAAAATAAAGTGAAATGAAATGGTAGGAGTGATATATAAATGCTCCATATTCTTGCAGCACAATGCTGGGAATTGAAGTCCGAGCTTCTGGCCTCCAAAATCATCCAGCTGTTGAGATGGACATGTTTTCCAAGTCTATAACAAATTTCTTTCTTGAAAGTTCATAAAGATGACCCTGTGTAACATGGTTAATAACCGTAATGTCAAAAAGTTCTATTTTGCCAATGTTCTTTAAAGGAATACCATTCAGTAAAGATTTTTCAAAGGTAGATGTCATTTCAGTTGAGGCAGATGACCATCTTCTTAGTAATAAAATCTACTTCAGACTTCTATAGCTTGGTATTTCTACTCAAGTGTACCAGGGCATGTGCCAAGTCAAGAACTTGTGTTTAACTTCAAGCCTCTGCTTTGTATTAGAGTCCTACGCACAGTAAGGTGGGCTTTAATGCTATAGAGTACTGAGGCCCACAAGGACCACAACGATGGCTATCCTCGCAAGAACCAGTAGACCACCAGCCATGTATTCAATATGCAGTTATTAATTTAAAATTATTTATAAATAAAAAACAACAGAATAAAAATTTAGAAACAAACTTAGAAATCATTGCAAAATTCCTCCAAAGCTAAAATGTCTTTCATGTGACTTCCTCGACTCATAGCCCATCAGCTTGCAGAACTAAATGTGCTAACAGTTCCTCTTGCCTTCTGGTGCTCATGCCCTTTAGTCTTCTTCCAGCAAGCTAGACCTAGCACCTCACATCTAACACTGCAAAAATGATTCATGCCACTATCACGGTAGGTTATGGAGGAGATCTCATTCATTCTCTCTTGCTTACCATCTCCTACTCTTTCACTTGACTCTTGTGCAAACCCACTATTGTGGTATGAAGTCTCTGTAAAGCAATGGTTCTCAACTTTCCTAGTGGCAAGCCCTCTTAATATAGTTCCTCATGTTGTGAGGATCCTCAACCCTAAAATTATTTTTGTGACTTTGTTACTGTAATTTTGCTACTGATATGAATTGTAATGTAAATATATTTGGAAATAGAGGTTTGCAGAAGAATTCATGACCCAGAGGTTGAGAACCCCTGCTCAAGAAAGATCTGTGAGTAGAGTAACTGAGAGGATTCTTACCAGAAGCCTAGAGGAAGCTAAGGCCTTCAGTTCAACAGCTTTCAAGGTACTGAGCCTTGTTGACCACCACAGGAATGAGTCTGAAGTCAGACCCTTTGTCAGGTCCTCAGAGGAGACCAAAGACTTAGTCAACAATTTGATTACAACTTTGTGAAACACCAGGAGATCAAAAAACTTAGCTTATGTAATACAAGAGTTTTATTTTTTAATTGGCATGAGATTAACAATTTACCAAACAACTCTGTTTTAGTTGAATTTCCTACTCAGCCGCAGTATCACATGTATCAAGATCAGGTCCTGAATGGTTTTGTCTTCCCTGATAATACTACGAATGAAGTCTATTGTGCTTATTGCTTCCAATTTTCTGTATTTCCCCAATTACTCTAAAATATCTCCTCATGAGACAGCTTACACATTCTACATCTAAGAGAGTTTTGTCTTTTATCTCTTTTGGCAAAGTTCAGAATAGGTTCTGGTCCCTCAATAATAGACAAACTAAGCAAGTCAAAACATGTACATCATTAGATATATATCAGATACATCTATTTTTGGAGCTCCATAAACACTCATATAAGCTGCATACTAAGAAATCAAAAGGCATAAAAGTTTACCCCTGTGTTCCATACCCACTTTCCTAATCTCCATTAATGCTGTGTTCATCCCTCTTGTGTCTTACCAAGACCTTGTATTTAGTCTGGTGACTTAACGCTTTTGAGGTGGGACTTCTGGGTTGCCTTTCATTGATTTGGTATCTAACCTTGGACAAGTCAATTAGCCTTGATGTAACTCTTTTCCACTTCCTGTAGGTAAAGTAAAATGTCCTGGGCAAAATAGAGAAATCCACAGAGAAACTTTATTGTTAATCTATATTATTCATAGTATCACAGAAAAAGTAAAATGATGTTATCAGGCAATATTCTTGTTGGTTATATTATTGAATATGAATACAGAGGATAAATTTATGGACTATTACTATTATGGTATAATCACTTTCAAATACATAATAAATGAATAGAACCTTAGATGGTGTGAATATGTTTGGCCCATAGAAAGTGGTACTGTTAAGAAGTGTGGCCTTGTTGGAGGAATTGTGTCATTGTGGGGGTGGGCTTTGAGACTCTTCTCCTAGCTGC